TAAAAGATAGATGCGTAAAAAAGGCGAGATTAATGAGAAATCTAAAAATACGCATCTATCTTTATTTGCATTTTCCTTGTTTAGAATAAACATATTTTTCGCGAAATGAATAATTAATTATCGCGTACAATTTTTATTTTAGGAAAATCTATTTTAGGAAGCGCAAATAGCTCGAACAATTATGCGTATAAATAAAATATCTTTAGGCTCCACCGTCGACATTGATATATATATATATATATCAATAGAATTGCTAAATTTCTCGTTATCTCGCCTTTTTTACGCATCTATCTTTTAATTGCATTTATCTTTTTTTTGTTTAGGTTAAATAAGAAAATGCAAATAAAGATAAATGCGTATAAAAGGCGAGATAACGAAATGATGTAAACACAGTATATGTACGGAAACTTCTACCGAAATAGTTACAGCCAATAATTTTGGCATTATTGAATATTTTCTTTGGCATTATTGAATATTTTCTCACGACTTGACAATCAAGATAATAATTTTATAAGTACTGATGCTATTCTTATAAGTATTCAGTACCGCATTCCTTGAAGCCAATTCATAATGCATATGATACATTTCCTAATCACGCTCGATGCGCATACGAAAATAGATAGATAGATAGATAAAATATATACTTCTAATCTAACGTAATTTAATGCAATTCAATAAACGTTCAATACCATTTGCTTTCATATTTATATATCGCTCTCATGTCTATTTATAAGTGTTTTTAATAATTTTACAATTATACGTATACGATATAATGCATTATTTTTTTCAATATATCTAAACTACTTTTTTACGTTTTTAAAAGATGACTTATCCACTTTTATATTCTAAATTTTTTTGGTATGTCCGAAAAAATCCATATATTAAAAATTTATTTCATTCATTAGATTTGAGCAAATTAAATTGTATGATATTGTAGCTTTCACAACAGATAATTGAATTGTAATTTATGCAATTTTTAAAGTTCGTTCTTTAAATTCTATTAAATAATCATTTACATACACATATATATATATATATATATATATATATATATATATATATATATATATATACACACATAATAACAATACTTTACCAAAAGAAATATACTAAATTTAAATTTTTGTAATCATGCAAATTTTCATTAAAAATTTATCTTAAACAGTATCTCTTGATCTTTCACTAATTTCCACAGTATTATTATTTCAGATATAGCGATTATAAAAGAACTTGTAAATGACGCACTTCAAATATGTCATATCATTGTATTTTAACGTGTTATCTTTCGAAATGTGAGAAATTAACTGCCAGCAATTAAAATATCTTTCATTCGCTCGTGTTAACTCGTAAAGTGTAAGTTGATGGTACATCTGTATAGTAAGTAATTAATATACGTATCTTCTAAATTTTCATATAAGTACATTAATTTTTTTATACTATTTCATAATGAAAAGAAATTTTGAGGAAACAAAAATCGTCGATTTATCAGCCTGTTTAGAAAATTTTTTTTATAAATATTAATACAAGATAATTATAATAAATAACGGCAAATATATCCAATAAAAACAATTGAGATACATAATATAATGAACAGTACTTTGATATTACAATTAACCGAATTTGCAAAATAATGTTTATTTCCTGATACTTCTATTTTACATTTCATATTAAAATTTTGCATAGATATGTATGTGTGTAAAAATTTAAATTTTAAACGTCTTTTAAAAGTGTCATCAAACAAAAATTAGAATTATTGTTAGAATTACCGAATTATCAACATATTGGTTCTAAAAAAATATTTCAGATTGTTGGTCTGAAAGTCATTGATACAATTTCAGTCGTTTATTTATTAAATTATAAGTGCTATTAGGATTAGATAAATAGATATAATATATAGATAACTCGCTGGCTCTTTTGTTATCGAGATTATCATGAATGTCATCGATCATATGAAAGTATCAATCTAATTAAAAATAAGATTTAATTGTTTATATATACAGATGGAAAAATTTAAATATATATTTAAATTTTATCATTTATTTTATCATTTATTTATTAATTTATCATATATATATATA